CCGTTCATTTTTATGCAGTAGTTTTTGAGTAACAAGTAAATAAAAAATTCCAAAAACTTTTGTTACACACTGTATATTATAGCACATATTTATTATTATTAATAAATTAATGTATGGAACGGTTAAACAAAATATTATTCTTTGAACAAGAGAACATTACCCTCATACTTCTCCCATATGATTGTTTTTTCCAATTCAACTGTGAGTTTCCATGTGGCATTTACCAACTGACTTCTCCAAAGAGAAAAGAGTTGCGTTCCTCCCAGTGAAGACAGTCCCAAGAAGAGGCATTTACCAACTGGCTTCACCTTGTAAGCACTGATTCCATGCTCCCAAGAATAAAGAAAGAGCTAATAGGGAAGTTAAAGTTGGAGTTATACCCGCAAGAATCATCTTAATCTCCATTTGGAGGAACATCCTTGTGTGTGCAACCCTTCTCCTTTTGGAGATAAATGTCAATGCCTACACCCATAACCCCAACTTCTTATTCAAACCTGAAATCGACATGATTCAGTATCAGTGGTAAAACTAGGAAATGTAAGAGGTCTGTACATTTCAATTTCATTATAACCTATTACATTTAAAAGGTTAATATGCAATTTCATAATTACATACTGCAATCTCCAGTACCGTTGTGAAGTTATTGGCAGGAACTAAAAAATTTGAGTATTTTGTTAACTTCTTCCAATACTCGCCTTGATACAATCCTTTATTGAATTAATTTGGATATTCAACGGTAAATCGGATGACGTCATGCAGACCAAAGTAATGAAAGCCTATTAACATGAACTCCAGTACAAAAGTTAATAATAGTTTCTTTGTAGAAGTCAACTCTTCACAATACTCGTTAAGACGTTTTTTCAATTCTAATATTTCATGACTTTGATCTTCTATTACTTGCTTTAATTACTAATTATTTTAGTAAAATTGGATACAGACTGGGTCTTTTGATTTGTTATTAGGCTTCTGTCTTCATTCCAAATGTTCTAAAGAAATGGGACTTACCATTGAGAAGGGTTGCTTCCTTGCTGTTAAACTTAAAAGTAGACTGAGAAGAATTAGTAACATCTGGATTGAGACACTGTGCTCGTAGAGCTTTTTTTGTCCGCTCGATACCCTCTTTTTCGACTGCTACGAGACACCGATTGCGTAAGTCCATCACGCTGTTCCCATCCAGCGTTTGAGTTTCAACTTCTCCTCTTGCGTAGGAAAGAGACGGATACGTTGTGTCTTGCCTGCTGGAATCTTGGAGCTCTTGTTCTTCTTGGGCTTTGGCAACTTCTCTTCTTCTTCTACGATTGGCGGCGGAACGCATTCCATTATGTCTTGCCACAAATACTGTGACGATTGAGAGTAAGTCTTCCGCAAGTTCTCTGGCTTCACTACTTTCGGCACTGACATCCGTACCGAGTACCACGAGCCGAGTCCCATTTTTCTCAAAGATCCATTCCACAAGCTCGGATCCAATCGACACAATCGGTCCTAATAAAAAAAGGTAGTAAAATAATAAAGGCAATAAAAATCAGAGTAAATAAAAAGATTAAACCTTTCGGGTAACCACCACTTCTTCGATTCCTCCTGTGTGTATTCGTTCCAAAAGGGCAACAAAACCCCCTGCGTTTCCAGTTAAGTCCCGATCCGATATCACTGACGATTTCGTATTCTGGGTAGTATTGCCGAAGATTTGCGATTTGTCGTTCAATGTCGTCTCGTCGATGTTCTGAACTGACTCTGGCGTAACAGATCTTGCCTTTTGCGTGATTTGTGTCTGTTCGTATATCAGTAATTGAATAAAGTCGTTTTCCACCAGGTGTCCTGACAAATAACAATTCTTCCGGAGTCGGCCCATCGTCGCAATGTTTCAACTGAGACGTCATACGTCTCTTGGATTTTGTGCGCACTTTGGTAAGTAGTCTTGTTCTGAGCCAGGTTGTAAAAAGGTGGTTTTGTTAAAAAAGTTAAAAAGATGGTTTTTGTTAAGAAATGTGAGCTACTGACAGAACCGTGTTTATTAAAATTACATTTGATATAAAAATGCCGAGATTTTAACTCCGTTGTTTTATAACCGGTTTTAGCCAGATATGTCGATTCCTGAAAAGTTGTAACCTTGGACGGATAATCAGAATTTGCGGTCATAACAGTTAAGAAGGTCCATACTAATACGCGTCAGTAAAGGGTTAATATTAATCGCAGACTGGTTAACATTGTATACTCCATCGGCAATGCATAAAATTTTCATTTGTGAGAGTAGACATATTTTCTCGTTGACAGTGAACTTACACATCTGCTGTCACATAGAAAGTATAAAACGCGATATTCTGATTCTAAGAATCGTACAGTGACTCGATATAAATCCACCATTATTTACTTAATAAAATGTGCTACAAACGAAATACATACATAATCAAACATGTAAATAATTGAATACAATGCATGCAATAATAGTACATTCAACATACACACGAATACATATACATATATATTATACTTAGATATTTCACTGTCAAAAGCCCGTCACTCGATCTTCTTTCTAACCCAGTACCTATGACTCATTAAATATCCCTTTCTTCCTTCGCATTCTTCCATAACTTTCTCGATCGTGTCCAAATATTCCTCTTTATTTAGGCCAACGCCGTCAACTGCATCATACATATGTACCGCTCCCCATTTATTACTCGTCAGGTGAAATTTTCCCACTCCGCCTGCCCACGATCCGAAGGGTGCTTTGCGAGAATCATGATGATGTTGAGATAGACAGGGAAAACGTGAAAGCCATTCTGGAATGTGAGATGAGAGAACGAGCTCTATGTTTTGCAGGTCGCGCATTGCCTGGAGAACTGGAATAATGAAAAATGTGACTTTAGCATTATGTTTGATTTTGTGATCTATGCAAAAGAAATCTGCTGCCCATTCATTCTCTCACAAACGAATCTCCCAACTTCTTGTAATATACCACGCATCCCTCATTTTATCCACAATTTTTCAACTCACCTTGCTCTCTAAATTTGCGTGACAAGGGTCCTTCCTCATACCAGACAATATCATTCTCCATCAATTCCAAATATCCTCCTGGCTTCAATACTCTCAACAGTTCAGGCAACACCTTCTCTTGCCAGTTATCAATCGTATATGCAAACATCATAAATCTCTGATGCACAAAATCGAATGTGTTATCTTCAAATGGGAGACCATCGAAGATGTTTACGTTGAGAAATTCCGTATTGCGAGGTTTAATCTCTGAGGGGTATAATGCAGCGATGTCAATTCCTGTGAAAGAACAGGATTGGTAGGTTGTGGCGCATTCAAGGATCCAAATTCCTGGTCCGCAGCTAAACATTTGGAAAGGAGCGTAAACCGATTAGTGACTCGCCAATTTGGTTATTGATTATCAGTCGACGCATATGGAACTCTAATAGCTTGTGTATAATTGTCTCCAATCTCATTACTTTTTACTGTGAGCACACTATTGTACTCACCCAATATCTAATATTTTAGCATTTCCTTTGGCCAAAACCCCTTCCATAGGCGATGAGAAGTTGTTTCCCCAGAAATACCTAAACATATAATGTAATGTTTGTAGCCGATCGATCTCCTTTTCGCATATAGGAAACATGTATCCAGCTTTGGCAAACTGAGCTTTTTTCTGCTCCACCAGTGTTTTGAAGCCGTCGTCCTCATCAAACGAGATTTCAGAATCAGTTGAAGTGATTGAGTTGGAAGAAAATGATTGCGAAGATGGACTTCCGGGGGAATCCCTTGGCGACCTGGAGCGCTGCCTGCGCAGCCGCTGGACACCACCCATGACCGATACTGAATGCACTTTTCCTTTTGAGTAGACCTTCCCCATTATGGACAATGAATAAAAAGAACAAGAGTGGCTTTGTGAAGAATTGATGCGTTTTTTTGTAAATCTCTCTTTGTTATATGTACAGTATTGATTGTTTTGTTGTTTATTTGATTTTTTAACAGTTTTTTCTATTTCGTCTATGCTCTATAAATTCTAAGGTAAAGAGTTTTTGCAAGTTTGCGTCAAGTAATGCGTATTTAAGTAAATAACTGGTTATTGAATAGTAAATGCTTTGTTTGACGCTGTGTTCCTGTTAAGGAAAGTGTTTTGTGACAGTGCGGGTGAGAAATGCTGTCGAGCAGATTTGGCAACCACTAAAACATAATAAATAATTACAGTAACAAATGTAACATTAATAGAAACAATGAGTTACAGACCCCTTAATGATGAAATATGTCAATAGTTCTTTTTACTCCTATGGTGATTTCGGACTTATATTACTATCTCGTCTGGGTGACCATTGGCGTATCGATAAGTCTCTCGTCGAGTCTTTGTAGTAGTACAATGCTAAACATGTCCTCAAGTTCATCTATAGGGTCTTTCTCATAACATGAAGTTAACCAAAGAACACGAAAACACCAGATCGACTAAATTTATTATAATAATAATCGATGCCATCATCTTCTACACCATAGTTGGCGAACAGCAATGTTACACGGGCCCATTACCGCTCTTTACAGATCATCCACCCGCATCGTATGATGCAGCTGCACCAACTCAATGGAGGGATTGAGGTTATTTAAAGACGTACATTCTGTAATATTTTATCATAGCATGCAGATGGACCCAGAACCGTTAAATAGATTGGTTACAAAACGTGCCGTGCAATCTAAGCCTTTTGTTTAGCTTAAGACAAAGAAACGAAAGATAAAGAGATACAATATGGTGTAATGATGAATAGGTAACAATAAGTCTATTGTCGCTTACCTATACTAGATGTTACCTATTGCGCCCAGTATTATAGTGGTCGGAGAGCACTTACAGGAGGTTTTGTCAAAGAGTACATATTTGCATTTGTTTAATCCGAAGCAGATAACAATTTTTGGTTAAGACTCAGGAAGTAGTGTGGACAGCCAAGGTCATGGATCATTAATAATAATTGTGCGGTAGCGTTTATCAAGTCATTATAATACATGAATAGATAAGTTGATCTGCAATCAGTTAAAAAGGTTAAAGGCAGTAGTTGTAGTTCAAAGATTTTCCTGAGGGGTATTGACTACAGGATTAGTTACAGGACATTTACTGCTAAATACCTACGTATCGAGGTTTATTTAACAATAAATGGTACACGGCGTGGCACAAGACTCGCAAACCATCTTCTAATCACATCGTTCGCTCAGTCTCCGACGGAGATCTATCACTCTGAATAATAATAATGCAATCGAATCTTCTTACTTGCCCCTATTTACAAACAGAATGTTTCACTAATTGCTTCAATGATCTTTTTCTATTATAAACTCGAGAATTCTGGTCGTATCTCAACCAGATATATCAGGTGTGCAAAGGACGTGAGCATTTCGAGAACTCCGTCCCGGTACTTTAAACATAGTTTCAAACGTACGTTTTCTTAAGAAACTTGTATCTTAAACTGTGTCATATAACTATATCAAATCGCATTATTTTATGTTTGATATCTTGAACAGAAGGATCTTTCATGGATTATTGGCAGAAGATAGGAATCTGACCTTCCGAGCACCCATCGTTACACGAAAGATACTAATAGCCGATTAATGCAGAAGTAGAGTCGTCTGCTTTTTGATCCAGAAACAGAGCGTGGGAGTCGCATACGAGATTATTGTCAAGCTGAAGAAGCTAAATTATACATTATGCGGATGGTTAAAGGGTGGCTTGGGGTTTGACGAAAGATCTAGACAATAAGATAGGATGGGGAAGGTATTGAGTTGTGTGAAAAAGTCGTTGACAACATGACAGGGCATAGAGAATGTCGTCTCAATAAAATCTCTCGCTGAGTATATAGCTTACATAAGATTAAAGCATCTAAGTTTGGATTCACTAGTGGCTTACCATTCCTGATTTATTATGGCTGTGTGGAAGCAAATGACTTCGCCGGAATTGCGGTCAGTGTTTTTACTTCGGAGGTGAGGCTTCCTGTTTGGCTATCAAATTATTCAATTTCTGAAAAAATGCTAAAGACATCATGTTAAACGATACTAGAACGTTTGCGTCTTATTCCATTGTAAGCAGGACCGTTTTCTAATTAGTGGAACGCTCGACTCTTATGCCAGGGAGTAAGTTTATCGCTTTATGTTATCCATGTATATTTTTACGATTAACTTAAATAAATGGATGTCAAGGCCATTTGGTGGATATTACTGTAATGTACTTATGTCACACCGTCTTTATGGTCACTGGTTTGGCGGTGACCGTAGTCGTAGTGGGGCCAACACTCTATGCTGATTTACGGAATGTGGCGCTGCCGTCATTGTGGCTTTGAATTGTAATTCACAATTTCTACTATTGGCTTCCTACCATTTTGGCCGAGCCGCTAAAATGGCTTAGTTGGGATCATATTTTTTTCATGATGATAACAGCCTTTTTATCTGCTTGCTGACTTTACTCTTTTCACTATCAAATTGCATCCTTTAGTTGCCACCTACATTAAAGGTATAGGATGTTCCTACGTTTAACTGTTTCGTAAAGGCTTCAACCCAATGCTTAGATCATCCCTTCCAATTTTTGGCTGTCATGCTGTCCCACGGTTGGCCCCGATTCAAATTTATTCCGCAGAAAAATTGTAATGGCTGTGTTTATAGAGAGAAGATTATTCTCATATTGTCAAAATACTTGATCGTGTGCAACAATGTTATGGCTGGTAGACTTTTGATTCCATCTAAAAATATAATTTACTTATTCGTTACACAATGTATTAATAAACATAGCCACTCACATAGCCACGTCAAAAGCCATGTCATAACGAAAGGTATGTGGCAGAGTGCGCGCTGAAAAGTTATAAAGGCATCATCAGCGAGGCAATAAATTGTCTTCACACTTGTTAAAAAAGTATCAACCAAATCGAACGATGAAATCAATCTTCGCCTTAATTTTCGCTTTTCTCGCTCTCGTCAGTTTAACGGCTGTCTTAGCTGCTCCGCGGGATACTGTCAGTAGTGTTCGGATTCCTCGCAACAAACGGCGACGATTCGGTGGATATCACAGGCGAAACTACTCGCCTCCCTATAGTTCCTCGAATACTCCTTCCTCGAATACTCCTTCCTCGAATACTCCTTCCTCGAATACTCCTTCCTCGAATACTTCCTCGAATACTCCCTCAGATACTAATCCCGGTAGTAATTCTCCTCCTCAATCTGGTCCCCAATCTGGTCCCCCATCTGGTCCCCCATCTGGTCCTCAATCTGGTCCCCAATCTGGTCCCCCATCTGGTCCCCCATCTGGTCCTCAATCTGGTCCTCAATCTGGCCCCCCATCCGGTCCCCCATCTGGTCCCCCATCTAGTCCCCCATCTAGTCCTCCATCTAGTCCCCCATCTGGTCCTCAATCTGGTCCTCAATCTGGTCCCCCATCTGGTCCCCCATCTGGTCCTCAATCTGGTCCCCCATCTGGTCCTCAATCTGGTCCCCCATCTGGTCCCCCATCTGGTCAATGACAGAAATGAGTTGACAATTCTGATTCAGGAATCCATTACCGAACTATAGAATGAGGGACATTTAGACGCTCGCGCATTTAAGTGCGGATCCCGTAATGGCTATTGCGTTTCCAATTATTTTTCTTTTACATTATTATTTTTTGTAAATATCGATTATTTATTTCTTCTTGATGACGCTTTATACCGAATGTTTTTATAAATTGCACACAAAATTGAAATAAACTTAGTTACATTGTCAATTTGTATTGCGTGAACGACCGCCTTATTTGTGAAAAAGATTCATTGAAAGCTCAATTAGTCCTATAAATCTAATTCTTAAAGCATTTAATAGCACCGCGGATGGCTTTCCTCCCAAATTCTGATTTATCACCCACAACGACTACATGTCTTGCTTGTTATGCCTCTCCAACTATCTTAACTTCCTTTCCAAACTCTTCAGCCTTTGAAATCAGCCTTGCGCGAAATCTCCCATGAGCCCGTGCCATCATTTTTCGCACTGTTCTGTTATTAATTTTACGATGTCGTCTCCTAGCCATTTGGCTACTATTAAAAGGAATTATGATGACATCAAAGCTACGAACAAGCCAGAGTGCGGTTTTATGATGACATTCATCAATGAAGTTTTTAATACGTTGTCTCATGCGAGCTTGTGCAAGGCGCATAGAATTTCATTTTCGTGAGGGTGCTTGAGCTGTGCGGGAGATAAGGTCGTCAAGGCAAAGAGAGAGACGAACAATTCTTTGAGCATCACCATTGCCAATACAACCAGAGCCATATGTAGGCGAATACCTGAAAATCCATAACTCAGTTTAAGATGTTTATAATAATAAAATATTATATCTAACCCTAACTTACTATGTTAAGAATGTGCGAACACCCGGATCTAGTGAACAAATGTTAACAACCACCACTTGATTCTCGTGAGGAGTTACATATTTCTTCTCATAAACCCAAATAAAGTCCACTGTTGTCTGGATCGATGCCATACTAATTTAGAATCATTATTTGCTGCTGAACGTTGTCCTTGCATACGGCAGGTGAAGACTGTATTGATTGCGAGGATGTCCTGAGCAAGTTCGTCGGCAGCGGATGCAGCGGTTGATGGGTCATTACTTGAGTGTACCACGACAATCGTGGTACCATTGAGACGGAAGATGTACTCG